TTATGCTAAGCTAGGCTAACCAGGCCCCAAGTCTAGCTCCATAATTAAAAGAGACTGACACCTTTTTTACAATTAAATATAGTTTGCTTTTACCTCTAACGAAACAAGAGTCGTTCTAACGTTCTAATATAACTTGTGTCAAAACTAATAATTTTTGAGTGATTGTTTTAAAATGAAAAACCATGTTTTCTCTTCCTGTAGGTCACTACAGTTTTGATGATGAGTCATCCTGAACTCTGGAGCATGACAACGTATCCAGTCAAATGTGATTTGGGGCGACCGCCCATCATAGAAAACTGCCTTTGAGCGGATCGTCGTAGCTCGCAGACCAACTTCATGAATCAGAGGGTTCAGTTTGGACATCAGTCAGCAAAAACTTGTGGCTGAGGTCGACAGTAATTTATTAATTTCTCCGTCACTCTTTGAACTCTGCAATAGAAACGGTCCTCGAGTGTTTACATCGGTAGTTTTACTTATCGTGATGTCATTTATCTGGAAATGATTCATATCCCTAAAATCTGTAAAACGACCTCAGCTAAAAGGTTATATAAGTTACTAAACCATAATAATTGAAAAAAGTATTTAAGTTAAGTCAAGTTTTTTTTAAATCAAATTACAAAATAAATGTTTTTGTAACACAACATGACATAACATAACGCAATGTAACTTCCCGCTGCAAAAAGAATGAACGCTCTCGCTATTGTAGTTTTATTTTATATTAATGTAATAAAAAAAAGGTGAGTGATGCCCTACAGTTGTCCCTCTGGTATTAACCACACCTCCAGTTTCACTCAGAAATGCATTATCAAACATCACGACTCTCTTTTTGCTGTTTCACTGTGACTTTAAATTTACACTTAGCTCGTAGCTACATACGTGACGACATGCTAACGGATTGAGGCTAAAGGGGGGTGCGCGGGCCGGGGTGGTTTCTAAAGTTACATGATCTGTGCGGATGTTTGGAGACGCCTCTTCCCCCTTCCCCCCCCGCCCCCGCCCCCCCCCGCTGCAGTGGACACTCAGAGTTGTATCAACTACTACATATTCTAATTTGTGGCTGGTGATTTGATGTGGAGCGCCCGCTGCTGATGTGTCAGCATTTAGTCTAATTCTTGACTTGTTATTTGGATTATGCTGCCTGGTCAGGTTTAAATACAAAACACACACACAACACGCACAACACGACATCTCAGGGGCTCCAGTGTTGAGCCACCAGGAAGGACATCCAGATGAGTTTGGTTTATTGACAGGTAAGGAGCAGGACAGGTGTCTGAGTAAGTTGAGGTTTTCGTATATGATAGATTTCATGACAACACAGGCTGACAACCGGGGTGGAACCAGTTTGAACCTGTAACATAAAGAGGCGATGACTGACACCATACCAATCGGGTCCACCGGAGGACGACGCCTTCATTAGAGGCGTACAGGAGAGAAAACACAAGTGCATTTTGTAGTGGTCTTCAGGGTGAGTCATACAATGCATTACAGCTGTGTTGGTGTGTGGTGTGTGGACAGATGAAAGGAGCGAGACTGCCCGGCCCTCCAATTATATATAAACAGGCTTAGTGTTAGCAATATCGGCGATATAGGTGAACTGAGTGCCTTTATGAAATATTACTGACTGACGACGGTTTCCACCATCCAGCCAAGAACAAAAATTGGTAGTGTTAATGTATTAAACAGTTCGCTTGTGTTTGTTCTGCCGTCGGAGCTTCTTCTTGTTTTACTTGTAGTTCTTACTATTTCCGCTGTGAAGTATTGCTTTGATTTAATAATAATAATATAATATGTGATGCAATTATTCAGGTTGCTAAGAAAATATACTTGATAAACTTTAGTATTTTGATGGGTTTAAACCCCCAGACCTGCTGCTAAACTGGATCGGCTATGATAATATAAATAAATGTATTATGATTTGGTATTGAGTTAATATAATACAATTTACCTTAATGTTGTTGGCCTAGATGACGTGGGAAATTCAAATAGAAAACAATAACAAACAAAAGGATTAAGTTCATGTTGAAAACAACAACTGAAGATTAATTAGCATAATTATCCATATCAGCATAATATATAGCTGGGTATAATCACCCAAATACAATTATCAGCGATTAGACTTTAGATTCTATTTCAGTGCAGTGAATTAATTAAATTTCTGTTTTGCTTACAAATTTAAAGCACACTCACTTTATTGACGATTGGCATACACCAGTTTGTTAATTGATACTTAATTCTTGTATAATTGCCACAGAAGATAACATTAATTCATATACTGAGATAGATGTATTTCAATAGATTATTTCTACATGAGATACAGAATCATTTTATTACAGTGATTAAATAAATAATGACCAGGCTACCGCACTGTGGCATTAAAAAGATGTAACTTTTTGTTTTTATCTTTCATGATTTTTATTGCCATGTTTGATGATTCTTTATACATATAATTATTATTATGTTTTCTTTCAGCTGTTTTCAGAGAAGAAAGTCCCAGTTACGTGAAAAAAACAATAAACTAAGATATACTATAGAAAAAATATAAATGGCATAGTCATAAATCCCCCATTTCATAAAACACTTAAAAGTCACTAAAGAATTATACAATATAAACCAAACAACAAACAAGAACACAAAAGCCTAACTTTTTCTGCTTAAATGGTCCACTTATGTAATCTTTAACTATAATATATTGTCTAATTTCCAAGATAATTAGTAAATTTTTTCAGAAAT